ACAGTAGTTTGTGCATCATAAGTAGCATCTAATTGAAACTGAAACTGAAACGTCATCCTGAGACTGAAAGTGTTAAACTGGTAAACCACATTTCCATGATAACGGAAGCAGCTGACTCCTTCGACATGTCTAATGTCCTTGACAGTTTTCAATTTCATTATTGTCTTCATCAAATAGCTGTCATATTTTCCACACAGAAGCACTTGAAGAGGTGTCAGTGATAGAGGATGAGCATGCTGGCCTGGGGTTAAGATAGTCAAGTTGTTTACTATGAAGCAAGCCAATGCCTGACCTAGATGCTCAGTCACGTGATGAGATGACCCCTAGAGGTCAGCTTGTCTGAGCAGTGCAGTGAGAGCTGAGTTGTAGCTTGCTGATTTGATCACTGGCTAGAATATTCTCGTGGTTTCATTGTGTACCAATAATTGCATCAGGCTTGTGGAATAACTTCACTAGAATGCATTTCCAGTTCAACCACTGAAGAGAACTACAGTCCTTTTTCTTGCTGACATTGGTATTTGAAGGTCTAGAAGAAGTTGTTTTGGGGAAGACAGTGAGTATTGTTTACTCTCTGGCTGGCTAACTGGGCGAGTCAACCATGTGGGTTTGAGATGGCTTAACAGGAAGTGGGGAGTTTGTTGTGGGGTTGTGCATCTTTGCATTTGACAACATCCATTTCCTTGTTTGTAAAGAAAGATCAAATATGCTTTCTCTTTTGAAATTTATTGCATTAATGATATTTTCTGTTTTCGTCTTTGTCACCTCCATGTTTGTTTACGATCTTGAATGAGTCATATCAGGAAACTTATTGATGAGAAACCTTATTCTCCAGTGTCATTGTTTAGAAAACTAAATGACAGCTGTTTTGCAAGAACCAAATAAGTGTTTAATTAAAGTCAAAATATTTTTTCATAGTGTGATTTATTCCCAAAAAATCCTTTTTGTAGAATTTGTGTGAAATCCTGAACATGCAGAAAATGAATGTTTGGTAGGAACATATATATATATCTTATGTTGTGTTGCATTAATATTTAGGATGAGTGTTTTCTTCTTTGTATGTTTATTATTAATATTGCCTTGCAAATACACTGAAGTATTTGTTTTAGATTGGAGAATAACCATTTAAGCTTTGGTAACATGCCCAAGGTATGTGGTCATGGTGTCATTATAGTCCGAGGGGTTCTTTCAAAGTGGGGACGGGGTGGAGGGGTAGCCTAGTGGCGAAGACCCGGGTTCGATTCCCCTTATTGGTACAGTGTGTGAAGCCCACGTTTGGTGTCCCCTGCCGTAAAATATTGTAAGAATATTAATATTGCCTTGCAAATACACTGAAGTATTTTGTTTTAGATTGGAGAATAACCATTTAAGCTTTGGTAACATGCCCAAGGTATGTGGTCATGGTGTCATTATAGTCCGAGGGGTTCTTTCAAAGTGGGGATGGGGTGGAGGGGTAGCCTAGTGGCAAAGACCCGGGTTCGATTCCTCTTATGGGTACAGTGTGTGAAGCCCACGTCTGGGGTCCCCTGCCGTAAAATATTGTCAGAATATTGCTAAAAGCAGCGTAAATCCACACTCACTCACTCACTCACTCAAAGTGGGGACACATAAAACCGTTCAGGTGCTTCCTAATGTTAGACAAAATCTCCTTGTTGGAGTGTTCACTGTCAGTTTGATTTGTCTTGTTGAAAGACAATAGAAACAACAATTTTATCAACACATTCTAGTTTTTGTCAGCATGATATTATATGTAACTTGTAACTTGCCATACAGTTTTGATGACTAAAATATTAATGATATTATAATATACTGGCCGGTTGTTACAATTTCTAACTTCCCCAAGAAGTTTTTTAAATTAGTTACTGATGGTTTCAGGTTCGATTCCTCTCATGGGTACAGTGTGTGAAGCCCATGTCCAATTTAGGGTAAAAATCTGTAATATTTCACTGTACACATAATAACAATAATGTTTGAAGTGGTTTGGCAATACAAACAATGCATAACTGTACACAAGAAGTCAGGTTTCTATGAAGTGTTTGTGTGACAATGAACTTAAGACAGCAAGCTTAAACCATGCATACTATGAGTTCAGTTAACATGATTAAATGTTTCGCCCAAACAATTTGTTACTATGAATGCACCATATTACTTGCTCCACTCTTTTTTGATCACATAGATTTAAGAAGATAAATGTTTTTATGCAGGTGTTTTTATTAGGTAATAAAAGAATATTTGAATTGCTAATCATGCTGAATATATGTTGTGGTACAGGTTCCAATAAATGTAGCTGAATTACAATGTGATAGTACAGTCAAATTAACCATCATTTAACATGCTTTTTGTAAGATCTGTTAAGCTTCAAATTCTATAAGCAATGACAATAATACAGAAAAAAATGTATGAAAGATCAACTCAGTTAGTCCTTGAATTTGACTCAAGTATCATGATTTGCAAATGAAAGCCAAACTAGTTTTTCCGTTATATTTGTTATTTAGCAATACCCATTTATTTGAATGATATAGCTGATATGTAAATATTTATTGTAGTATTCTGTGTTGCTCCTTGTGCAGTAGTGACAAGGCTTGGTGTCCACACGAACATTGGGGCCGTGATACACACCACTTTGGCTTGGTTTTCATGTGGAGACAAGTCTCGCCCATAATTGATTGATTTTTGTGTCTCTAGCCTAGCTAACAGATGGCCTTGAAGCTGGCACGAACAAGCTGATACAGTCAATACCAGTAATAAATGAGCAAAATCACAACATTTGCCAGTCGACCTGTTTAATGGCATCAGTTCAATTTGTTTGTGCATCATCATGATCATAGTGAAGCAGAATAGGGAAATGTGACAATCATTTCCATATGTTTATGAACTATATTTCTTGACAAACATTATTGAGTTATATTTTAGAGGGTTAGACTTGTAATTTATTATTGGGACGGGGATGATGGGTGTGGCCCAAGTCATGCTGGGTTCAAGTTGAGGGTTTTGAAATGGACTATACCATTTTGGTTATCAAATATAAACAGTGGCCAATTAAGAGTTCTGATAAAACCCATATTAGTGCTATTGTCTTTTTGTGTGTGTGTGTGTGTGTGTGAGAACTTACTTCTTTGACAATTTTTCATCTGTAAGTATAAAAGGTATGTGTGAAAAAACTAGTATGAAAAAGAAAAGCAATTTGGGACATGGCAAAAAACAACCCAACCTCTTTTTTGATATTTAAGGATGTTTGTTTTGGGGTATGACGTTGTTTACAGTTGGTGGTTATTTCGACCATGGCTGCTGGATGGTGTGATACCAGGATAGTGCATGTCAGGTAACAGACTCAATAGCTTGGCTAAAGGGCGTTACCTGTCTATGGTTTATACAGTATTAAGCTGCAGACTTATTACATGATCCATGCTTACAATAATTAGATTGCATAGGTTGGATCAGGTTGACTAGGAAGCAAACATGATGTGGAAGTAAGTAGCATGGGCATGTATTGAGTGGAACGTGATCTAACAGGAACATGAATGATGAAGGAAGCTTCTCACTGTTCTTGATGGCGGAACTGATATAACACTTTCAGCATATACTCTGTTGTCAGGTCACACGTTTCTCATGTTATGGTTTTCTTTAACCAGATACCTTGGGCATGTTGAGAAGGTCAGAAAAGAGGGAAGGTAAAAGACTGCAGCTCAGTATTTGAATTTTGCGGAGATGGAGGTGGGCGGGGGAAGTGGTGTTTGAGTTTATGTTGTGTTGGTTAGAGAGGGACCAGTTGTTTATGATAGGGGTGGGTCAGAGGGAATCAGGAGGGTCACCAAAACATTTGGCAGTCTCTAGGGGAGGGTCATAAAAGATAATACACATATTTGGGGAGGGTCACGAAACAAAATGTACAAAGACTTGGGGAGGGTCATCTAAAAATATAACAAGCATTAGAGGAGGGTAATTGTTTTCAGTATGTTAGTGCACCAAAAGTAATTCTCTGTTTGATTATCACAGCTACATGTTTTTCTGTCTTATTCATCAATATAGTGCGGTCGTACAAATGAACTATTTTTCTTTTGTTTTCGGATTATTTTTTTTGGCTGCTGTTGTTCAAGCCTTATACCAGAAAATGAAAGTGTAGCCTTGCCCTCTTCTCTTCCTACGGATCATCCTAGTGCTTAGGTTGTTACTGCATTTTCTTTGAAGCTTTTTTGAACCTTTTCGAGTTCTATTTCAGCAGGGACATAGAATCAATTGAAGGCTGAGCCTTTTTTCTTGAACATTTAAAAAAACCTGTTCCATATTCATGATAGTTTAATCATTTAACTCTGCACTGAGCCGAGGGGTATAGGTCTTGTGATGAAGACTCTTGAAACTTAGAATTCAGAGGGGTTCACATGTGCATGAATGGATTATTGGAAAGTTGTGGTCTTGTTGATGGTAAAGCTCTCAATTTCTTTGTGTCGTGCCAGTGATGGGTAGTATTCTTTATTACGCACAGGGTTCGATATAACTCAGTTCATAAAAATTGTATGTGCATGAGAGCAAATCACGCGCATCAGTGTATTGTTTATGTCATCCGGACGGCATATTATATTAATCTTATTGTGATGTAAGGTCGGAATGATGTCTTAGAGGAAGATTCTTGACATCGTTGTAGAAATGTGGTTTTCTAAGATGGCGGGCATGATCAGTGCATTTTTCTAATAGGGACCTCAAAAGGATTAAGAAGTAATGAGTAATAAAGAAAATATTACACTCGCATACTCATTGTAGAATAGGTCTTCACTCGAAGTCTTGATTATCTACAGATCGCTGTCATCATGGTCATATTGCTGGAATATTGCTGAGTGTGGCGTTAAACAAGAAACTAACCAAACATTGTACAAAACTTATGTTTCAATTCAAACACTTTTGAAATAAAGGATTTTTCATGACGGTTGTCCTGATGGACTGACTGACTGACTGACTGTGTAGTAGCCTATATGACAGTCCTCCTGATGCTCTGTGTCTTGTTGTAGGAGAAGCTGTTGCTGACGGATGTGAGTCTCCAGAGGCAACTGACAGAGCTAGACGAGGAGGCCGAGGAACTAGAAGAAGCCCAGAGACATCCTGGACACAGTCCCTTCCTTCAAGTGACAGAGATGAAGGATAAGAAACTTACCATTAACATCAGGGTAGGTTTGTTTGTTTGTTTGTTTGTTTGTTTGCTTATTTATTTGTTGTTTAACGCCGCACTCAGCAATATTCCAGCTTTATGACGGTGGTCTGTAAATAATAATGTCTGGAACAGACCAGACAAGCCAGTGATTGACATCACAAGCACTGATCAACCCAATTGGGATACAATGACATGCATCAACCAAGTCAGAGAGTCTGACCACCTGATCCCTATAGTTGCCTCTTATGACAAGCATAGTGGCCTGTTATGGCAAGCAAGCATGGGTTGCTGAAGACCGATTCTGTCCCCGGATCTTCACAGGTCTCAGGGAAAGTGGTGCTGGTGTCACAAGAACAGCCTTCTCAATTGTGCTGAGGACAATTTAACATCCAATGCTTGTAGTCCTCATTGACTAGTAGCGTTTGAGGTGCCTGGGTTCCATACTCCACATTGGTACAATATGTGAATCCCATACTTAGTGTTGTGTTTCTGTGAAACTCCTCCCATTTGATCATGTGGTGTCTCTGACACTATAACTATGGTATGTACTCTTTAAAGTGTGTGTGAATGGGGATGATTGAGTGATATCTGTGCATTACCTTATTTATTAGTATAGTGGTATGTTGGGTTTATGATATAATGATCATGAGGGTGTTGAAACTATGATGTAATTGTCAATATTTAAGTTGAATCAACAGGATGATGTAGAAATATACATAAGAAAATATAAGTATATTTGAAAATATTGTCAATAAATATGCACAGATATGATACAAGTTGAAAAGGCCTTCAGAATAATGTTTTACATGAACAATAATATTATTTTCCATCACCAAAATCTGACTTTGTTTTATCTTAACATTGTCTTATTGCAACGGCATTGTGGTAAAAGTTACATTAATGTACGTTTGGGATTGCACGGAATCAACTCTGTTTTGCAGGCTCCGCTTCAAGATGAAGAAGACAATGAGTACGACCCACCATCTTCAGCAGATATAGAGGTGGTCCACAAGAAAGCGCTTCCCAAACTACACAGCATTCTGAAACAGAGGACTTTATCCGAGTCCAGTGATGATCATCTTTGCAGCGGGGCAGAGTCGCGCAGCAGTGAGGCGTCGCGCAGTGGGGGAGAGTCTCCTCGGTCTGGACAAGAGGACAGTCCACTTGAGGGCTGCTGTAAGAAGTCTGTCACCTTCAACAGTCACATCGACAGTGCCACGTACAAGAAGAACACCGCCCCAACCAGCATGAAGACTGCTCTGAGGAGTAAGCGAAGGCGTGCCAGGAAGAAGGAGGAGAAGAAGGTTAATGGAAGAAGACGCAGAAACAGTGGTTCTGAGGGAAGCAGTGGGGAGGAACTGAGTCACGACTCTCACTCCCCTGCGGAGGACAAGGAGGAAGATGATCACTTTGAGCAGATTGCTGAGGAGGATGAAGGAGAGAAGGTGGAAGGCAAGAAGGGAAGAAAAGTGGATGCTAAAGGAGCAAGGGAGGGAAGTGTGAAGGCTGAAAAAGATAATAAAGATTTTAGGACTAGTGCCACTGATGCTGGCAGTGAGATGAGTGTGTGTGAGAAGAAGAAGAAAATGGTGGCGGCGATCAAGACCAATGTGGCAGCATGTTATAATTCCCAGGCAGCTGATAGTGATGATGATGGAAATGATGATGATGAGAGGACTTGCACAGAGGTTGCTCCTTGTGTGAATGATGTGTACGAGAAGAATGAGAATCAGGCAGCTTGTGAGGATGTGAAAGATGCTTCAAAAAGCTTCAACTTGTCATGCATGGAAGGTGGGGAGGGTGATAATGTTGTCTCAGCCAGCAACATTTCTGGCCCTGAGGATCTCAGAAAAGCAGCTGAAGCTCAGGATTCCTCTGTCATAAAAGTACAAGCAGAGAACATTGATATTGAGTCAGGAAAGTGCAACGAATCTGAGAAGATCAAGGTACCATTGATACAGAATGGGGAAGAATGTAACAAGGGAGACAACTCCAGCAATCCAGGCAACAGTGAGATCGAGACAGTTCTCAGCTGGGAGGAGCATGGCACTGGCTTGGATCCTAGTGACCACAAGACACAATGTGCCTTCAGCTTCAGCAACTCTGTGATTTACGACCTTGATGTCGATTAAAGATTTCTGCTACTTTCATGGTGGCAATACATATAGTAACACTGAAGTTGTTACATATTTGGGGAATTCTTTATTTTTTATAGATTTTGGGAAACAAAGCATTATAATGGCATTTGGGAACTGATTAAACAAGAATTAAAATAAATGTAAATAACTGCATTTACTTGTGTAATTACTAGCATTTAGTATGTGTTTTTGTTTGTTTTTTTCTAACAAAAATCTTCTTAATAGGATAATGTTTTTGTTATGTTGTTGATGTGATAGCTTCTTGAATTAGGGCAATAATACCATATTATGAGTATGAATTTTGTATTTTTGAAAGTACCACATCCCAGAATGTGATAGTTCAGTTTTCACTGAATCTGCCTGATTGGTGCATGACCACAGTTTTTGTGGTAAGATGTTTACATATGCTTGCATTGAATTGTTTGTCAAATGATACATGGTGATGAAAAAACTGCATATTTCTCCCCTAAAATCACAGGAGTTTTGAAAAACTATTTTGATGAGATAGAAACATGATAATATTAGGTACATAATTTTTGGCTATGATTATTCTGATGAAAATATATTTTCTGTACAGATTCATAGATTGTACTATATTCTGTAAGAAGTTTCTAAAACATTTAAACAGAATTTTCTGACTGTATCTTTAGTATCAAAGTAACAGTTCAGGTGCTTGTCTTGTCAATATTCAATGTTATTTTTGAATAATCCTTGTAAGATTAACTTTTATTTTACTATCAACCATTCATGAATATTCTATTACATGCATTGATTATTGTTTAGTTTAGATAATCTGTTTGCTGAAATAATATCATTCCATTTCAAATGTAAAGTATTGTTAATTTTTGTTTCCCCTGACTTGACATGAACAAGACAATTTTGTCAGTTGTCGCCCAACGCTCACATCACATATAAGTGATTCCTACAGATTTAGGTGAGATTTTCAGAGTGTCCTCACTTTTACAGTCACTCTGATCCATGCTCTCACTTGTGAAAGGTCACCAGATCACTGCGGCACGACATATTAGTCTATTTTATATGATACTTAGATTTTGAAAAGGTGTGTGTGCTGTGTTGACAGGTAAGGTGTCTGAAAAAAGGTGGCTGCATACTCCCTGCCGGCTCCCCCCAGGATCTGCCAGTGCATCAGTAGTGTTACTTTAGGTGCTTTCATCAAATTTCGTTTATCACTGTTTGTGTATAATGTGATTGATAGAGCTTGAATTTAGAACTTAGACACTCATTGCATTACTGACTTTTTGGCCAAGATTGTCAAAAAGATTTGATTATATCAGGAAGTATGTTGTGCTTGATGTGTATATTAAGGGATGCATGCTTGCATCATGTGCACTATGTTTTTCTTCTTGAGAAATCCAAACTTGCTTCACTGATGATAAAATACCTGTTGTATCAATGTGATTAATCACACAATTGAACATGTTTTATGAACTTAATTGATGAGCAGCTTGAGTGAACGATTTATCTGACAATCCTGAATTCTATCAGAAGCAGTTAACCATTTGACATTGACTTTGTTTGGAATCGTGATTTCTGACAATCGGTCTAAAAAAACATTTGTCATGTTTATACATATTTTGTAGTGATGTTTCATTTCCATTTTGTATTAGAAACTTGCCAAAACAGTTGGTCATCACTTGTTAACATTTGTTATTTTGTATTTCACACTTTGTATTTGTGTATGTGATAATTTGTATACAATATGTTTGTTGATTGAGCAGAGTTGAGTGGCATGCTTCGATTAGAGCAAGAGATGGGTGGACATTGGATGCATGGATTGGGAATATCGATTGAAAATAAATTCCTGGACAAACACGTCTTTTGTCTGTTATGTATCCTTTGAGTTGTACTGCATACATGGCCTGGTTTAATATTTTGGTTTTCTATTTATGTTGAAGATTGACTGAATGTTGTTCTGTGTTGAAGTCAGCCGTATTCCAGCTATTTCACAGCAACCTGTAGATAATATGGGCTAGGCAAACCAGTGGTTGACAACATGAGTAACTACCCACATAATCATCGAACAATGACACATGATCAACCAGGGCACTAGGGCTGGGAAGAGTCCAAATTTACTACCCGGGTACCTGACACCCTATCACCTGGCCCTACCTGGTTACCCGCTATAGGTCTCAAGAGTTGGGGACAAAATGTCCGAATGGGAATTGTTTTACCGCAGCCCTGGCACAAACTATTTAGATACACGTATAAAACGATCTGATCATGCATATACTGCAGATGATAGATGCTTTATCCTTACTCAACAGAGTGAGAAAGAAATATGAACATTAGCTATACTTGTAACCGTTGAGTTTTATTGTTAATGTCATTAAACGATATGTCACGTGACTAACCACGGGTCCGGGTAGTCATGTGGGTACCCAGTTCCTACTGAGGACCCACCCGATCCGACTACCCGAGTTGCCCGTCCCATCCCTCCAGGCCACACATTGTAACCAATCGTTCACTGAAGGCCCGATATGATTCACCACTGTGGACCTGAAGAAACCTGTGAAACTCTTTCTGGTGTCTCTTGCCCTGCTAGTAGTTATTTCAGGTCATCTCGGCATGTGCTATAAGTCCCCCCAAAAGTGATTCAGGTCTTCAATGTTAACCAGTCTGGTGAAACCCATAAGCAGTGTATGGAGCTAACAAACCATGGATCTTGGTCAGGACGAATCTGAGATCAAAACCCACGAACATTGTCCTCTTGCGCGCCTAAGGGAGGCAACTCTGTATAGCGAGTTACCATACCTGGTCAGTCCACCTGTGACCTAGGGCTGGGAGGGAGAACTCGGGTCGCGTGGGTCCTGAGTAGGACCAGGTTACCCAAAGGACTACCCGGACCCGTGGTTAGTCACGTGATATATTGTTTAATGACAAAAGCTCACATAAGCTCAGTGGTTACACCACACGTTGCGAATGTTCACATTTCGTTGTAATGATGCATACATTCCTTTTGACTGGTATATCTTTGAGTAAAGATAAAGCTTCAGTCAACTTCAGTGTACACATAATCTGATCGTTGTATACATGTATCTAAATAGTTTTGTCAAAGGCTGCGGTAAAACAGTTCCCAATCCGACATTTTGTTCCCAACTCTTGAGACCTTAAGTGGGTACCCGGATAGAGTCGGGTAATGGGGGGTAGGGTACCCGGGTTGTAAATTTGGACTCGACCCGACTCTCACGACAAGCATGGGTTACTCAGCCACTGCCAAATTTCTACGCGACTACGTGCTAGCATTTTTGTATTAAAAGTGCACCCTCTCCCTTTCCAAGAGACCGCCTCCGTGGTCTTGTGGTAGAGCGTCCGCCCGGAGAGCGGAAGGTCCAGGGTTCGATCCCGGGCCGCGTCATACAAAAAGACGTTAAAAGATTGTACTTGTTGTTACCCTGTCTGGCGCTCGGCATTAAGGGGCTAAAACAAGGACTGGTCGGCTCGGAGTCAGTATACTGTGTCTGAGTGGGGTATTCATGTTAAACTGCGGCATGGTATCTCAGTGAGCTAGCACTATAAATCGGCATCAGTCCGGACTAGTACAAGCAGCCACACATACACATACACGTGCATGCACGTCGCTATATAAGTGCAATAATCTTGGACGCGACGTTAAACCCAATTTCACCTCACCTCACCTCACCTTTCCAAGATATAGCAATCCACGCTTGCTGTTCAATGGACAGGTGTTACAAATACACATCATGACAACTAGGTTATTCTTGGGCACGAACCATCAGGGTGTATCAATGAGTATTGAATATCGAATCAATAACGAAATGCCAATAGGTATTCGGGTTTTTTAAAATCCCAGAACGGGAAATATTTAAAAAAAAGGTTAATGCGATGTCTCAGATTACTCAATAGGAAGTATAATTGTAAGAAATCGCCAGAACAAACCACTTAGTAATGATGTCTGTAAAGGCCTATGGAAGCGTATATGAGGTTATTATTACGTTTGTAAACGTGTTACTCATCAGAGTTATTCGCTTGTAAGAACCCACCTGAGAGACAACATTGAGTTCATTTTGTCCTGAAGCATCGTACCGGCAACAACGATCATAACGGGTTATTAGTATATCAGACACCTCGGAAAACAGTAGATCGCGTCACGGAAGGTTGCAAAAGTCGGTTAAATGTTCAAATGTACATGCATACTATCGTTCCTGAAGAAATAACGTCTTGTCTGTAAACATAAATAGAAAACAGTTTGATTATTCTGGGGTTTTTTTGTAGGTTGAGTGTGTTTAACTGTTATCTTTTTGTAAGGTACACCATATTAAGTTCAGTTTGGAGAAAGCTATGCTACATACTCTAAAATATATTTTATGTATTACTATTAGTTAGAGGTATGTTGTTTATGTTGTACCTCTGCTTTTCTAAGCGACGTCATTTGGGCTTTTCTCCAACATACACTGACACAACGTAATATATGACCGAAACTATCTGCAGAGCATCGTAACCCAACACACGCCTCAGCAGGTGAAGGGAGATAACTCTTTAAGTCTTCGTGGTCTCGCCTATTTCGGCTCCGCGTTTGTTGGTTCCATGTATTCTTATTGAGGCAACACCCCACTTGCAACTTGGATTTTTAACTTTAGGTTAATCCCAGATATTTCTCTTTGTTTCATACTTTGATAAGGGATCCGTCTGACCAAATGTTTTGTTAAATATTGTAAAAAAAAGATGAATTTGGTTTGGTCCGTTTGACTTTCAAAAACAGTTCTTTTAAGGTTCATTTGCGACCTCTGCCTACTGTGAAACGCACGTCAGTTTCCATAATATCAGATCGTTTACTCCGATACGATACCTATTTTTGTGAACATCATGTTCGTACTATCTTCAGACCAAATTTATATCATCTTCACTCGGAGAGGCATCGATTCGGAGTAAACATTCTGATTATAATGAGATTGATCGCAAAGTAGGTTCGGAAAGTATGACCTCGTAGCCGCTCATCTGAGGCTCTCCTTGTATACTTGGTATACTCGGCATATAATGTCAAAAACCTTCAAAAAATAATCCGCAAAACAATGTAAGCAGTAGTTTCTATGGCAAGAAATCGTTTCTTTTTTCCATACATGTTCAACGTAGGACTGGACATAAGATTAACATTTTAACATTTATTGACCACATTTGGGGTATACTGATTAAAACCCCGACCTTTACTGAAGTCTTGCTGAAAAAGGTATTTGGATGACGAAATTAAACAACACAGCACGTGACTGAATGTCACTGATAACGCCTAAAGACATAAGAACATCAACTATGAGTTGGCAAAAGTTCTTGTGTGCCGTCCTTGACCTCGGGGTTAGAAGAGCCCCAAGCAAACCTCTGCCTGTCGTGAGAGGCGACCTATAAAAATGGATCCGGTAGCCAGGTTCCGTGACTTGGTGGATTGCGTGCCATCGTATACCGGCGAGTTGGATCGTTTCTCATAATATCAGTCACTGGATTGTCTGGTCTACGCTCGACTATTTCCAGCTAGGTGTCTGGAATATTGGAAATGTATCCAAGGAAACAAACGTCCCCGAATCACAAACATAAACCTCCCTTTCAATCGAGGGGCACGGGTGGCCCAGTCGTCTAAGGCGCCGCGATTCGCTGTGCAGAGTTGCGTCCCTTGGACACACCAGACACCTATGATTGTGGGTTCGAATCCATGTTCGCCCCGATTATGTTTCTAGGTTTGTCAGCACCATACCCGTGCACGTTGGTTTCACCGAAGTGGTAAACGTCTGATACCTGCATCACTTCGGGCTTTCCTCCCACATTAAGCCGACACGCCGTGATATAACTGGAATACTGTTAAAAGCGGCGTTAAACCAAACTCACTCACTCACCCCTTTCAGTCGTCTTTCACACGTAACTGGTTCCAATTTGTTGACCAGTCATTCCTTAAGTATTAGGCAAACAGTTTTCAAGAAATGCACGAGCACATACACTTTAATCAGTTTTAAAAAAAGAAGATAATTTCCACACGCTTCAGGTATCTCGTATGTATTAAAAAATGTTCATACTGGTCATATGCGTATTGCCATAATCTGACGGTCTAGGTCACCATGTATATTGAAAGTGACAAATAGAAATCACACGAGAAGACAAACATATCACCGATATGTAAGAGTTGTCTATTCATGTCTGTTGAGGACGTACTGAGTACATTACCAAGTGTGCTGCCTGCTAGAGGCAAGTTTCTCCCGGGGAGCATGTCTCTCTGTGACTGTTGCTGGTACTCTGCCAAACATGTCTCGATGTATTTGCATCGTGACGTTACTGAGTACGCTAAAATCCGTCTCCAGGATTGCTTATTTACCCGAGTTTCTAAACTGTTAATCCATTTGTGATTCAAATACGAGGTCCGATTATATATCATCGTCAGAACAAATTGTGTTGGTTAATGATTTTCAAACTTTCTTTCTCTATACAAAGGGGCGTTTGATCGTAAAAAATGTGTTGTTTGTTTGTTTGTTGTTTAAAGCCGCTCTCAGAAATACCCCAGCTTTACGACAAGGAAAAGTTATGAGAGAGTTGCATAAACATAATTTGTGTTATTTAAAAAAAAACAACCAAAATTTCCAAAACTCTTATCTGTTTTTAAATTATTTGTTGTTTTGAAAGCCCAGTATATTTCCCAAATACACGGTTGCCTGATAGGCGATAGTTGAGCCGCATGGATACGGACGCGTTTCTTCTTCCGCTACCATCACCCGAACAACCAAAGAGGTGAGGTGAAATTAGGTTTAACGTCGCGTCCAAGATTATTGCACTTATATAGCGACGTGCATGTACGTGTGTGTTTGTGTGGCTGCTTGTACAAGTCCGGACTGATGCAGATTTATAGTGCTAGCCCACTAAGATACCATGCTGCAGTTTAACATGAATAGGGAGTGAGTATGGTTTTACGCCGCTTTGAGCAATATTCCAGCAATATCACGGCGGGGGCCAACACCAGAAATGGGCTTCACACATTGTACCCATGTCGGGAATTTAACATGAATACCCCACTCAGACACAGTATACTGACTCCGAGCCGACCAGTCCTTGCTTTAGCCCCTTAATGCCGAGCGCCAGACAGGGTAACAACAAGTACCATCTTTTGACGTCTTTGGTATGACGCGGCCGGGGATCGAACCCTGGTCCTTTCGCTCTCCGGGCGGACGCTCTACCACTAGACCACGGAGGCGGTCGGAACCATTAGGAAAAAGGAAAGTGTACACTTGAAAATTATATTGACTTAACAATTACAAACGTTATCAAAACGTTACTAGACTGAAAACTGTCTCAGAAACCTAAAACCTAACGTCAACAAAATATTTTTGATACCCGTATCAAATACATCACCATCGAAGAACCATGTCTTGTTTCTTCCTTTTTAGCCACCATCAAACATGGATATATACTTTTTACCGGAACCATATTACAGATATACATACATTTCGGGAAATACGGGAGTGTTACCTTTATCCTTGATACTAATGAAGGTGGAGGACAAATCCGGTTTTAATATCCCATGTTTGTATAACTCGAATACCAAAACACAGAAGGGTAAAAATAGGTGAGTGTGGAGAGGCGTTTAGCGATTTATATGCAGCCATCAAGGAAGACGTAATACTATAGGCTGTATAGGATGACTTTGTGTCCTATCCAACCCTGACGACGGTGCTCACACTAACATCCCTTGGTGCATATGTTCCAGAACCAGAGTTGAGCCACATGGATTCGGTTGGTTGGTTTGTTGTTTAACGTCGCACTCAGCAATATTCCAGCTATATGATGGCGGTCTGTAAATAATCGAGTCTGGACCAGACATTTCAGTGATTAATATCATGAGCATCGATCCACGCAATTGGGATCGATGACATGCATCACACAAAGGTAACGAAATTCTGTTCAGCTAGAAGCGCTCGTTAAATCTCTAACATTATCCAACAGGGCTGTCTTCTACTTACTTCCACTCCTCACATAATTGACTGATTGATTTTGATTTCGAAACCATATCATGGTCATCTTCCCGAGGCAAGGGAGTTAACTGACTATAACAGTCCAGTTTACACCCTTGCCGAATTAGGCTGAAATTCCGGAGTTACGTTTTGCTGGACTAACAAGTCCGTGTATAGTCCGATCAAAATCGCGTGACGAACTAGGTATCAACCTGCAGATTTGCAAAGCATGTGTACCACAAACTGGGCGTCGACATATATCTTACAAATCTGTTCATGTTTTTAATCAAGGTGCTCAAGTGATTTGATGCTCTTGGCGGGGTAAGACCCGTTGTATTACAATAGAGATCTTGATTATCGATCAGATCGTCTTGACTAGGCGCCCTGGGCGGTCGGGTAGCCTAGTGGTTAAAGCGTTCGCTGGTCACGCCGAAGACCCGGGTTCAATTCCCGACACGGGTATTATGTGTGAAGCCAATTTCTGGAGTCCCCCCGCCTTGATATTGCTGGAATATTGCTAAAAGCGGCATCAAACCTCACTCACTGACTAGGCGCCGCCATTTTGTGTGAAGCAAATAGGCACATTTGAGGGACATAGAAGGGACATAATTCGTAATAGCAACTGGTGGCGCTACAATCGAGCCTGAAAATTCCGGCCTTGTTCGGCCAGGTTGGAAATTGAACTTTTATAGTCGGTTAACGCCCTGCCTCGGGAAGATAAACGCTGGTCTCCAAGTTTGTTTGTTGTTTAACGCCGCACTCAGCAATATTCCATCTATATGACGGCGGTCTGTAAAATAATCGAGTCTGCACCAGACAATCCAGTGATTGACATGAGCATCGATCCACGCAATTGAGATCGATGACATGCATCAACCAAGTCAGCGAGCCTGACCACCGGATCCCGTTAGTTGCCTCTTACGACAAGCATAGTCTCCTTGGTCTCCAAGTCCCCGTGGGGATACCGCTACATAGTATGTCTTCATTTTGTCACCTGGAAACACCAGCCACTTTCGTGTCCTTTGGTAGCAACTAAATTCAGCACCGTTTAATTTCAAAATAAGATTCATTGTCTACAATCGCATCCCTACGGCGTGAATCGTTACCCACGTCCATTTATCAACCTCTGGATTGTCTGGTCCAGACTCGATTTACACATCGGCGTGATACAACTGCAATATTTTTGATGGCATAAAACATCATTCACTCAGTCAATAGCTGTGTCCACATTGGTATGCCAGAGCCTTGAGTCTAAACCACAAAGTAAACACAACACCTGAAACAAAACTCTTTCTGTCGGAACAAAATATGTTGATTTTTACAATTTCAATCCGGTAGACGGGTGCGTAATATCCGACTCCTCGTTGTAAGGCAGAGAAGCCAATTGGATAGTTGGAGGCCTCGTAAGCAAGAACTACTAACGTCTTGGTAATGATATCCATGTTTAATTAGAAACATACCTAGGCAGGAATCATAATTACACAGATGGCTGTAGAGGATTACATATCTCAATGATACATATCTAGAAGGTAGCGATACAGAAAGATACATATCGAGATACGTATTGAATATTAGAGGTTTGCGTGAGGCTGATATAATGTCCTTTGTTTCTCGGATATTAGTATTTGCAAAATTCGCTGAAGCACTCTTCCCTTGTGTCTTCCCAAAGTATTACACAACATGGTAAAATCAAGGTCATTTGGTCCTGAAACCTTATGGCGCCACTCAAGTTATGATGTGTAATAATATCAGGAACAGACTCAGGGAAGAAGCGAGGTGGACAGAAGGCGGGCGCAGAATTGACGCGTGGTGGACAAATGTACGGTTAGAAGCGAGAAACAAAAGACACGTTTATTTTAGCCTTATGTACTTTGAAAGAAAACAAACACCGACTAATTATCATTTCAATACATCTTGACAATATCGCTCGTATCACCTTGTAATTCTGTAATCTTGTCGCCAAATTCCAGCTCAGTATCGTTACACAGTATGGTTCTATAAGCTTTTGAAATGATAAAAATGGAAGACAACCATCTTCAGCGATATATTCTATCAATACATTGTTGCTATACGTGTTCTAATAGTGTTTCCTGTCCCGGACGCACTTGCTGGCAGCTTGCATTTTGCTCTGTATCAACACATTGCCCTTGTCCTGGTACACTGTAGAGACTAAAGGGTTTCGGCATTCAGTTGGCGCACCATTGAACCCATCCAACCCCGTCCCTCGTTATTGCACCAAGTTCTGTATATAAGGCGGACGTAGAATGGCTCGCTTGCATGGACGAATGACAGCTCCAAGCTTGCATAATATATACTGAATAAATATTAGATCCTTCATTGCACTATTAAATGTCAGCACCATTCGTGAGAATAAACTCTAATCACTAACGAGTCACGACCTCAAAGTGGAAGTCAACGATATATGCACATCATCAGAGAGATGGAAGTGAAGAAATGAATACACCTGTTTGTGAGGACCGCTAGTGTCTCCATCAGTGGTTTACCCAAATATAAAGACTTCCCATATACATCCATTAAAGTAGGAGCACTGTCCATGCAGTTCTTGTGTGTGTTCAGTATTCAAAAGCGTTTTTCCTCAAAACGAAATGGGGGTCACATTCTTTCTTCTACATCTCGAAAACATGAGGAAAAGCATCTGTGATCACTCAGTCTATATATTCCACGCTATCCCGTCTTCAGGGTGCATGGAGACGAATTAAGAAACGATTGGCTTTCCAGAGAAAATCCACGAGAAAATCCAAACAATTTCTCTTAGAAGCTAATGGTAACAGGTATTTTCCAATATGAATTTCAGGGGCAAACATGCCCTTATTTGTTTCTCGATCAAACTTTCTTGACGTCTTCGTACATATCTGCCCGCTGACCATTGGTCAGTCTGAACCGGTGCTATCACTGTAAGTGGGGGGCGTGGTACTGAAGCTGTGCCACAAAGTCACGTGCAGTAGTCAGAGACATTTCCGGGTCCAGATAGACATTAACAAACATTTTCGTCCCCCATGGGGGCATCGCTACTCCCAGCTTCACGACTCGCTTGTTGAACGTCTTCGTCATGGGCGGAGTGGTCTTCCACGACCGCGAGCAGCGACCAACCTGAAGAGAGAAGGGAAGAGTTGAGAACCCTGCAGTACACAGAGTAGGAAGACATCAGCGACATCCGTGAGATAGGGTATAGAGCTATATTTTGAAAACATCTGTCCGTATGGTCATACATGTGCAGGTTGCAAACACATCATTACAGAGCATAAATTAGTTACTTTCCCGGGTTAAAATAGGCCATCAGCGCTTTGAATTTGTCGTAATAGCTGATTGAAAAGGGATAGGGTTGTCATGCGACTTGTCTGACAGTGTGTCAAACCACTGGTTTGACTCGGTTATTAACAGATCGCCGAGACGTAACTGAAATATTACTTTGCTTCCACTAAAGAATGTATGTAGGATAGATCAGTTCATGTTTATTGTGATAAATGATCACATTAATCTAACGAAAACAGCAACCTTCTTAGAAATGAAATTATTCTAGAGCTTCATTACAATGATACCTACCTAGGAGAAATTTAATCCAAGACATTAATGTCTGTAATAATAATACAATACTGTGAATAAAAGCGAAAAGACCATTTCTATAATCATAAGAAATCTCTGCTAAAGTGTCCCTTGTACGAATCCAACTACATGTATATCACTATCAGGATACGTTTCTGAATCACTTTCAAATAGTGATGATACCTGGACCCACTTGCACAAAGCGATCTTAGCGCTAAGATGATCGTAACTCCCATACTTTAACATAGGCTTACAATAGTCTTATCGCTAAGATCGCTTTGTGCAAGTGGGTCCAGGTGTTCGCGAAAGGTGAGCGTATCCTGACCGATCCGTCACGGACACATGCAAAGGCAAGTCAACTGTTCACATAAAAAGCAGCGTTCATCTGGTACTAACTGTCCGAATTAACGAGGTTACAATGTCTTCAGATCATACATGGGCTACGTACCCCGAAGCACGAGCAAGCTCCCCAGCAGATTGGGTTGAGGATGCTGATTTTGGACTGTGTTGTGGTTCCAACTGAGGCGGACATCTCAGCGCTGTGGAAAGTGTTCAGCGGAAGGTTCTGGTAGTAGATGTTGTTGGACTTGGTCACCTGCAACTTGTAACCACCCGAAGGCTTGCTGGTGTCGCCGAACTCATTTAATGTCGAATCTGGAATTTGTGCAAAGTGGATTTCTTCGATCAGCTTTTCTCACAGGAATCTAAAGCCTTTTCACTCCCAAACACCCTTCCCTCAATGTATATAAACACTTTAACACATTAATTTCTTATTTTATTCATAACCTTCTGGTATCTTTATCGATATTTATACAATGACACGACGTGATCTGATGCACTTCAATAATGTTGAGATACACATGCACTCTATCCCTAGAATATCGAACAGTCGTCCTGTAGTAACTTCACTCAGTCTGCTACATGCTTGCAAATAACTCGACTTCGTCAATTATTACGTGAATACAGTCAATCGTTTGAGTCATTACAGTTCTAATTGAAGACCGTGTTTCCTGACGAACCATTAATTGCTTCAAATGAAATGTAACTACCCCGTCCCCCCTTGCCTCTTCAGATACCAGCCCATAGTTGTCGTAAGAGACCACTAACGGGATCGGCCGTGATCGGGTAGTCAACTTGGTGGATGCATGACATGATATTCCAATTGCGTAGATGTCTTGATGTCAGTCATTGGATTATCTGGTTCAGACTCGATGTTTTACAAACCACCTTCAAATAGCTTGACTATTTCTGAGTTCGGCGTTAAACAACAAAGAAAGAAAGAAAGAAAGACACAAAACTATTTTCACATGAAATAGTTTACGCACCCGTGAATATCTCCGCCGACAGTAACAACACCCTTTTATTGGTCAGACATATTCGCCCTCTTCCGATTGGTTCTTTTAGCATCTTGGCGCACTCCATGTCATAGAACTCCACGTTAGTGAAATAGAGCCAGCACCCTCCCAGCAGCAACTTCTCCCCCTCCACCAGCATACCTGCAAATGAGAATACAGGTGTTACTGGCGTCTCTCCACTAGCATACCTGCAAATGAGAATACAGGTGTTACTTGTGTCTCTCGACCAGCATACCTGCAAATGAGAATACAGGTCTTATTAGTGTCTCTCCACCAGCATACCTGCAAATGAGAATACAGGTGTTACTGGTATCTCTCCACTAGCATACCTGCAAATGAGAATACAGGTGTTACTTGTGTCTCTCGACCAGCATACCTGCAAATGAGACTACAGGTCTTATTAGTGTCTCTCCACCAGCATACCTGCAAATGAGACTACAGGTCTTATTAGTGTCTCGCCACCAGCATACCTGCCAATGAGACCACAGGTCTTATTAGTGTCTCTCCACCAGCATACCTGCAAATGAGACTACAGGTCTTATAAGTGTCTCGCCACCAGCATACCTGCAAATGAGACTACAGGTCTTATTAGTGTCTCGCCACCAGCATACCTGCAAATGAGACCACAGGTCTTATTAGTGTCTCTCCACCAGCATACCTGCAAATGAGACTACAGGTCTTATTAGTGTCTCTCCACCAGCAAACCTGCAAATGAGTCTACAGGTCTTATTAGTGTCTCTCCACCAGCATACCTGTAAATGAGACCACAGGTCTTATTAGTGTCTCTCCACCAGCATACCTGCAAATGAGACTACAGGTCTTATTAGTGTCTCTCCACCAGCATACCTGCAAATGAGTCTACAGGTCTTATAAGTGTCTCGCCACCAGCATACCTGCAAATGAGAATACAGGTCTTATTAGTGTCTCTCCACCAGCATACCTGCAAATGAGACTACAGGTCTTACTAGTGTCTCTCCACTAGTCCTGCACCATGACCGTGGAATATATTTATTTTATGAAAAAATAATAATCTAGAAATGCATACAAAAGCAAGTCTAGCCAGCTCAAGCTAGCTCTATTCCACATCAGCATAGGGAATTTTCTTTTATTTTTAGAGTCAAGAAGGATATTGTGTAATATAAGATTTCAGAGACTAAATGTTAGTCTATCTCTCCACCAGCATACCTGCAAATGAGAATATTATATTAAAAACGTCCCCATTCTCAACCCCTTTTTATCTCTAGCAATCCATTCACATGAGTGAGTAAATGATTTCAGTTACACCACGGCGTATCAGCTTCACCTGGCTAGGAAAATCAATTATACACGTTTACGTCTTTGGTGAAACCCACATGGTGTTGAGAAACCTAGAAAAGTAAGCAGGTCGAACTGGGGATTAAACCCACGACCATAGGTTTCAGGCAGGCTCTATGCACATGATTCTACACAATGAATTGCGCCGTCTTAGAACACTTAGCTAGGTTTGCCCTCTGCATTTATATAAATCAAACATATGAAAGATGAGATAGATACACACATTGATATTCCTTTACCTGACTGCAAACACATGCATAGCCTTGCGCCAAGGCTGTTTGAAAGAAATGTAAATGGATGTGTAGTAATTATATCCTCCTAATAGGCAAGTCTAGATATGTGGACAGTTCTAAGGACTCCAGTCTCTTGTAGGGACAACTTGGCTTTTTTATTAACATCATCTAGAAATTATAATTTAAATTAATAATCATTGCCTCAGAGACTTGAGCAAGTCTACATGCAGTACACTGCGCTCAAGGGCATAGTGTCCCGATTACAAACACTACTTAGAAACTAACTATGGGATGTCTTTTACATTTATATTCAGTTAATAAAAGAATTCTTATGTACAGAATATTATTTAGAATTATTGAAGAAGGTGAATAGTTAATGGTAATAACTTGTTCTGTTGTGTAAGGACAGTGTTCCTACAGTGCCTGATTATTACAAATAAACACGATTGATCTACCCCTGATACGGGCATACAAGGCCTCTAAACAAACGAGTTGGTAATGACACTATTTGCAGTAGACTGCCTGGAGTCAGTGGATGTTGAACCAGTAATTCCGTCCCTCCAGGAATGTCCGCGACACGTGATTCTTATCATCCTGGTTCAGAATGTTCTGATGTCGGATACAGACAGAACAAAGGTGGCCTGGCCCCTGCCATTTGGGTAATTCAACACACGGCATCAAGTACGGGATCAAAAGTTCATATTTATTTAACTTGTTCATTGCAAAGGATAAAATCGGTTTCAAAGGTATACAAGTGATGGATTCCGGACTGGTGATATTTCCGTAGATATTATTTATTATTTAATTTTGGTAGTATTCATTTAATATCATATACAAAGTAGCTGAAGTAGATGACCTTTAAAGTTCAAAGAGGGCACGGATGGCCCAGTGGTTTAAGACGGAACAATTGTTTTTGCAGAGTTGTGTCTCTTATTCGTTCCAGGATTCGCTGTTTGTGGTTTCTAAGGCCAGATAAGGATCGTTTGTCTGTGAGCAACATACACGTGCTCGTATTTCATGAAAGCCGTAAATATCCTCGACATGCGTCATTTCGGGCTTCCCTCCCACATTAAGCATACACCGCGATGTAACTCAATTACTTTTAAAAGCGGAGTTAAACTCAACTCACTCTTATTCGAACTTCAGTAGCGAGTAGAAAAAATCAGTTTCGCAAGTCACTAGGTCACTTTACCCTAAGTTCCTATTGTTTCTAAAAATACCACTTGACTGGAGAATTTAGAATAATTAAGACATCCCTATATATAATAACTTTTACACGTGAGGCACTGACCCTGTAAATGATTACGCGCATACATTTCCAGAAAAAAACCCTCAACAAACTGTTCCCTTGGAATGTGACCTTGAGCATGACTGCAGGAACTATCAGGAGACTAGCACACTCTATATATCAGTCCTACACGGGGAAGCTTGGGAAACAGATGCACTCAAATAAACCCTCCAAGTCCAAATACATTCCGCTGAAATTTAGACACAACGATAAAGGTTAATCTTCGTCAGATCTACGGCAATGCTCTCGGGCTCTGCGTTTGGCCACTACCTGTTCAAGTCCCCATTCACAACCAGCCACTCGATACGCTGCTTTCAGAGGAGCCGACCTTCAACCAAATTCTTTCATCGCTCACATTTTATCACCACATGGAAAACAGTTTGATCAAATGTCTACATAAACACTGCAGCGACACATGACCTTCCAAGAAGCTGCCTCTGGTGAAAGAATACTATGAAGTTTATTGTACAGTTGTGATAAAATTCCCCGTCCAAAAATCACCATCTCCTGCAGCCATCTTATCATACAAGGTAGAACCGACAGCATGCTGTAGGCGTGCAGGCCCGCCTGCATCTGCCGGGAGATGTGTGATGTCAGCTGACGTGCACAAACCCATACAACCTACATGTCAGTAGACTTGCACAAGTCTCTAAGAAAATGGTTATTAGTTTTAATCATAATTTCTAGGTTACATTAACAACAAGATCACGTAGTCCCTATGAAAGATAGGCGTCCCACTGTCCGCTGATGTGGACTTGCCTCATACATGTCAGGATAGAATTACTATACATACATGGACTTACATTCAGTACAGCCTCGGAGAAAGACTAACACGGCTTGGATGAGTTCTCTAGATCAACTCTTGGTCTTGGTTATCATGACATTCGACCATCTGTCTGTTGTCCATCTGTCCATCTGTATGTCTGTCTATCATACTGATCACATCTCTCCTTCAGACAGATCATTAATCATCTTACTATAAATCATCCAGTCAGGACGTTTCAAAATGTATTAAATTCGACCATGGGCGCTACATGCAATCTGCTATTTTTTCGAGCCAATCCGAATCCGATAAATATGCTATAGGCCGAGGTTATGAAACTGTTTTTGATGCGATAATGAATCATTAACATCACAACCAGTGATATTGTGTCTGGCAAACAGCTTCCCGTTGAGGAGTCGGTTGCTGGAGGCGAAGACAGTCGTGTAAACACTCCACACTGACGTAAACATACTTTTTCTGCACACACTGTGGCTGCTGGTTCAACTGAACAGGCTTGGAAACACTGGCGGAACTCTCAGAACGCCGAGTTCTGTCAATGTGTATGAAATGTTTTGAACCGATCTTATTATCACGTATCGTAGTCTGACTATCGTGCAGGAATGACCCTCCATAAATACAGTCTCCCAGAGTCACTTGTGCTCATACTGCGTATGCCTATACGAAATAGATTATAATGTAATAAAGCGAAATATGCAAGTGTATTTTGAACGTTTTATAACATACCTGAATTCTTTAGCTAAATATTATTTGAGTTTGTATGAAGATCCTTATTTTTATCAGGTAGTTATAACGTTATTGGTGATAACAGGCACTCGGTCGACGACTCTTACTGAACGTAATCAGTCTTTGTATAATAGGTCGCACACAATAAATAAATAATTGTTTTTTTAAGATAAGGAGACAGGTAATGTAAAGTCTGCAAGTGCCATTGAAAGGATAATTTTCTTGGCACTTGCACCAGGCCGCCATTGACTGAACATTCTATAATTTGATATATGCTAATTCGAACTGCATTGTACATGCCGTATTCTTCACCAATACTCATTTTAACATATCAACCCCTCTAAAACTATCCAAATCCCCCAAGCAAGTCTACAATTATTTCGCAAATCTTCTTCAGGTTCTGAAAATGAACAGATTCCCTGGGCGGCTTTCTGTTATATATTGCAGATGATGTAACAATGACAAAGCTAAATTTATATCAGTGACTAAGAGTTTGTCAGGAACGAGTTGTATCTTTATTACACATCAACGTTTGCAAAGAATCCAACAATGCAATTAATCTTACCCTGAATCAGCTGTTCGTATGACAGCGTCTCCCCAGCCTTCCTGTAGAGCTCCATCACCTCCTGCTTGAGGTTGCTCCCCTCGTCCAGAACAGTGCTGTTGAGTCTGTAGAAGTGTCTGTGGTCAGTGTAGGCCTTGTCCAGCACAGTCTGAGATGCTGGGTTGAAGTCACTTCTTCTGAAGTCTCCATCCTCCTGTTCCGGGGGCTCCGTGTCTTTCTTGGACTTGAGAGGCTGGTTGACCTTCTGTGGGACGTACGTGGTGACATTGCCGATAGACTGGGGCTGGTTCTGAACGTGGACTGTGTGGGACTGTGGTGTCGAGGATGTGTGAAGTTGTGACGTTGGCGGTTTCGATGTCGTGTTTGAAGATGAAACCTATGGAAGAATAATGATGATATGAATAACTTTTTTTCAATAGATGTTTATTGAAATGCATGAACATATGTGTGACAGGGAGGAGGAATATTCGCCCAATTTTCACATGAATACCCCACTCAGACACAGTATACTCAGACTCCGAGTCGACCAGTCCTTGTTTTAGCCCCTTAGTGCCGAGCTACAGACAGAGTAACAACAAGGACAAGCTTTAAAAGTCTTTTGGTATGACGCGGCGGTGGATCGAACCACCGACTTTCCGCTCTCTGGGCACCACACCACGGAGGCGATATGTTTGGGACTGACCATTTAATATCCTGGGGTAGCCCTGGGAGTTGTAAACGAGGCAGAATATTTTTTTAACCAGCGCTCCAAGATATATGTATGCCATTTGTTTTATCTGAGAGGAGGAGATACAGGCGCGTTATCTTTAAGAACATCCAACATGAACGAAAAGGATTTACACATGTAAATTCCGTCACAATCACCCAGATTTGCTTTATCAATAAAAATAATGTTACAATAACCAAACACTGTAGGCGATCGTCAACACATCTTTAAAATGTCTTTTGCGGTCAAGAAAAAAAGCATCATTAACCCTGCCCCATGTTTTCAATACAAGTCCATTTGAATGAAACATGATCAAAACCACATAAAACAATCATGATCACCAATGCAAAGACAGGAAATCTACATATTATTACGATATAAGGAAGACAATTTATGGATGTCAACTTGTTTACCCGATGAAGGAGTAAGCGTATACTCCAAAACGTTGTGTTCCTCATAATAAAGACAACCATAAATTATCTTCCTTATGTGCATCCCTTCTATATGCCATTCAAAGACTAATTACGATGCAGTTCAGGATGTGCTTTGAAACACAATTTATACAGTACTGTGAGTAAATACAGTTTATAACCCTCGTACATTAAAAGTGTACATGTAATAGTTTCAGCAGGTGTCTTGTACACGGCGTAGTGAAGGCAGGCAGTGACGCCCGCACACAGCATGTTTTTCATAAGCGTATAGGGAGTGAACCCTTGCTCCTGGGTGCTCCGACCCGCCAGCATGTGGTGCCTGTCTGTAGGTGCCTTAGACACTCTGAAGGACAACGAGTGGGGTACCCTACAGCTGTAGGCCCAACTAACAGGATTGTTTACAGGTTTAAGTGCCCATCTGTTTACGTAATGGGTAAAGGTTACACTGTATCAGTCTTCGTGATGACAAGTGAATAACATCGTAACATCTTTCATTCTTTTTGACCATTTTTTAATACTTGTACCACATGTATACTTTTCCACTTTTAGGGCGAGTTTCTTTTTCATTTCTCGAATAGGACATTTTCCATGTGCTAGGTTTTTTTATAAATGGGTTAATACCTATATTTCCAAACCAAGTTAATTTCGTTCTCTAACAATCCAAAGTAGGGTAGCATCTAGTCTAACATTTAGCCAAAGAAAAATATTTATAAATATATATCTACAATATAGAAAGTAAAATCCAAATGGATCCCAGAACAATGTTCAATTTATGAATATCCTTGGAGCTGAGGCAATTCTTGACTCAAGTTTGATTCTCTAGGCTCTAGGACACATAATCTACTACCTCATTTGTATACCCGTGAAGATCCGGGGTAGAAAAGGTCTTCAAAAACCCATGCTTGCCGTAACAGGCGACTATGCTTGTCGTAAAAGGCGACTAACGGGATCGGGTGGTCAGGCTCGCTGACTTGGTTGATGCGTGTCCCAATTGCGTGAATCGATAGTCATGATATCAATCACTGAATAGTTTGGTGACTCGATTATTTACAGACCGCAGTCACATATCAGGAAATTTGCTGAGTGCGGCGTAAAACAACAAACAAACAGCCAAACTATATATTTGTGTAAAAGTTCGACGACTTAAATATCTACAAACTGTCAGTGTGTAATCTGATCATTAGTCTGTCTTACAGACCCTGATACAAATATATCAACTACAGCCCATGCAAGTCTATAATGTTTGGCAAGTCTAGATTACTGCAGTATCTGAAAATGAAGAGAATCACTGGGCTCCCTTTTTATTATATTTTTATTAAGATAACTGAGCAACTGTTTTTTCTGTACGATATGTTCATTTCAGAGACTATATGTTAGTCTATCTGATCATTAGAATCATCTGACCACAGGAACTGAGCAATGCTTTCAATCAGTACAAACCATCCAACTAAAGTAGCATCCAAGAATGTATAGCAACCATCATGCGAAGCACACGGTTCATGTCCTAGGAATGAGCTTGAAGTCAGGTAGAGCACGACGACCATGGTCTTTATCTTGAAACCTTAGAAGGTGAAATCAGATTGAACGCATTCCAGTGAAAGGTGTGTGATAAAAATAACCAGGATATGCATGTGTGTACATGGGGTCGGGATGAAAGAGTCTATGTGGAACACGAGCCGGGCGATAAACACATAAACACCCTTATAAACACGAGTGGAGACTATGCTCGCATGGCTCACGTTAATGATGTGTAGTATGAGCTCTGGATGAAGATCACTGCCTGTGTGTATAATGTGTAATTGGCCATGAACCGTCTACAGGCTTATTGGTTTGACATGGCAAAATCATTATTAGTCATGGCAGAAATCGGCGGCGATACCTGTTATTATCTCATATCTCGAAAATATGTATCATGATTTTTTGGTGAAAAATATTTTTATAACGGATGTTCAGTGTAATAACAGAAGAGATGTGAATATTGCTTTATGTATTGTAAATTTTTTAATACACTGTGTAGGTAATATTATAAGTTGAAGCAGGATCACGAGATGGACATAGGGTTTTATGCATCCCGCGTGAGGTTTTGTTTATTTTAACGACATGTGCCAATCTGCTTTTGTGAAAGAATTAAAACAAATTCAAAATTGATAAAAAAACAGCTGTTCGATTAAGCTGAGGTTAACTTGTGCTTTTGACTTCGAAGCGGGTATGCTTCCGCTGAGAAATCCACGTGCAGCCTGTTTTCTTCGTGGCGGGATATAAGGGATATATTCTCCCGGTCAGAAATGTATTTCTCGCAGGCGGGATATATCGCATTTCATCAAGATCACGTGAACCAATCAGATCTCGAAATTCTCACATGGAGGGTAGATAATGTTTTTATTTTGTACTCTGTATGTGTTTTTAAAAATAATAATCCTTTTATCATACACTGTATAATATTGCTTGTAGTAGTAGTGGTTTATTTCAGTAAATCAGGCCACAGGGCCATTTTACAATATATATTCAAGCATTCAAACATGTTGCGCCACAAGTGCATGTAGTAATATCAATACTTATCAGTACAAGGAATATAATATAATATTGCTTGTATCATACACTGTACATATAATTATGTTTTTATCACACGCAGTATGTAATAGTGCTTGTATTAACAAACGGGCCTTGTTTCCGTCTCCCCCGCGTGACATCAATATCTGCCTTCCCAAAACAAACCAATTAGTGAATACAGCCCCGGATAATAACGAGCGTTATATTATCAATGATTGAGGCCTATCGTTACAATTTTGCATCAAATGAATACTTGATGTCAGCCATCGACTGCCATGGAATATACGTCATAATAGCACCAGGGATCCCCCAAAACTGGAACGAGGAATTAATGTGAGTACATAGGGTAATGGAACATAGGCCTAGACTAACACTTAGTCAATATACATGTCTTTAAGGGGCGGTCGGGTAGCCTAGTGGTTAAAGCGTTCGCTCGTCACGCCGAAGACCCGGGTTCGAATCCCGACATGGGTACAATGTGTGAAGCCCATTTCTGGTGTCCCCCGCCGTGATATTGCTGGAATATTGCTAGAGGCGGCGTAAAACCAAACTCACTCACTCACTCACTCACACATGTCTTTAAAATAAAAACACAATTTTTTCGAAAGAATCTTTCCTCTTCTGCAGTGTGAAATCAAGCAAACTAGACTTGATTAGTTTGATCTAGACTTAACTAGGCTTTTCGTAAAAAAGAAATACATACAAAAATATAAATTCCACTTTCATGGTGCAGGACTAACATATACCCTATATAGATAGAACTTATATATACCAAATCCAGAAATGTTTGCTTCGTGCATTTATCAGTTTACTGTTTCGAAATATTGGCAATAACTGACAGACCAGTAACTTAATCGTCATCACTTTTCCTCGTCGCTCATACAAACCCTGAAACAAAAATATCCGAATCCTCCAATGCAAGTCTACCTCACTTTAATATCATTACTCTGCCGACGTGTGTATCCTGGTCGACTATCACCAGAGAGTCATCTTCCCGAGGCAAGGGAGTTAATTGACTGTAAAAGTCCAGTTGAAACTCCTTTGCCCCGGGTAGGGGCCAGAGGGTCGACGCTGTGGACAAGTGCCAAGGGAGGAGGGCCCGGTGATGGAGTCTGAGCTGAAGATCATAGCGGTGTACACATATTGTGACATGACACATTTGAAACTTTATCTGAAAATGTAGACTGGGATGTTTCAAATTTAGCCTGAAGGGTTGACGTGTCTTATCAAGTATGAAGCGATATTCTCTGATAATACCTGATAATACCTGATAATCAGCCCGCATCGAATACACTATTCCGTGACTCATCCCACGTGCGTTGGTGCTAAGCCGAGTTCATGTCCTATAAAAACTATAACTGCAAACCCTTCTTATGTGAGACTGGTGAGTAGTGGATGCTGCTTGTATACTATATGGACATGATGGGTTGGAGATGAAGAAACTTGTTAAGGGTTACTACTGACACACCCCATGGTCAAGATGATTGATCACAAGAAGCTGTCAGTGTTGATATTTGTGACAGAATGAGAGTTCTGAAACCAGAACCAAAGCGAGTCATTTCGCATATATAGTTCACAGATAGCTCAGATGGACTCCTAGTCAGCAGTTTGAAACGTGATGTGGAGATAGCACTTAACTCATATGATAAAAACGATTTTTTAGAATATCTTACCACCTGTCAGAGTGTT